CCGGCCCACGCTGTGCCTGGGCTGGGACTGGTCCCGCCGGCGCAGGGTAGCAGGAAACTCTCCGCACACTCACCGGACCTGGGCTAGGACTGGGTCTCCAGAATTTTTTTTTATCATCTTCTTTTATCAGTTTGTTTACTGCCAGTGCTGTCCTCATTTTATTCCTGACATTGGTAGTTTGTGGTTTATGTCTTTTATTGATCAGTCTAACTGGTTTATTGATTTTGCTGATTGTTTGAAAGAATCAGCATTTACTTTCATTGATTAATTTCCATTTCCCCTTTTCCATTTTATTAATATTTTGCTTATATTATAATTTTCTTTCTTTAATATATTTAGGCTGTGTTTTATCTTTTTCTAGTTTCTAGCTGTGGAGGATTATATTGTTAACATAAGACTTTTTCAGCAAAGTGTTACACTTCATGTCTTTCTCACTACTTTACCAACATACAAAATTTGATATATTGCATTTTTATTTCCATTTCATTCAAGACTTATCTTTAAGATTTTCTAATTGACTCATGAGTTATCTTACAATATTTTGTTTTGTTTCAAAATAATTAAGAAATTTTCTCAATTTTTCTTTTATTTACTTTGATTCCATCATGATTTAAGAATAACATTACATAATTTTTATAATCTTGCTTTTCTTTGAAGTTTTTAAAATATGTTTAGTACAGGGCCTACAGGGTTTCACTATGTAGATTGGACTCGTAGTGATCCTCCTATTTTCAGCCTCCCAAGCACTGGGATTCCAGGCGTGGGCTGCCACACCCAGTCTCAATCATCTTCTCAGTGCACCCTGGGGGCGGGGCTGGCATGGCTTGTGGTGCCAGGGATCAAACCCCGGTCCCTGTGATCTGCCTAAGCAGGTGCTTTAGTCTACTGAGCTATTAAAGTTTTTAATGGCCCAAATATTGCCCATCTCAGTGAATGTGCTTTGCTCACCTGGCAGTGTATTTTCCTGTTGTTCTGTGAAGTAATCTGTAAATATCAATTAGATGAAGTGACTTTATGATGCTTTTAGGTCTTCTATAACCTAACTGAGTTTCCATTTGTTGTATCAATTATTCACAGGGGGATGCTGAAGTCTCCCATTATGATTACATTTGTTTATTTCCTCCCCTGATTCCACCCATTTTTGCCTCATGTTCTTTGAGGAGTTAAGAAGTAGACATATTTAGCACTGCTAGTTATTTTACACTGCCCTGTGAACACACATGCATACACCCCCTCCCTGTGAATGTCTTGAGTGAAGGGGTTATAGCTCATTCAATTTTATATCTACAGTGACCATTAGTAGGCACTCCATGTTAAAATGCATGAATGTTAAAATACAATTATTTTATACCACTGTCAATATGTCAAAGATTACCACCTCTACCCATTCCAAATTAAAAACACCAAACTGCTACCAAAGTTACTATGGTTTTCATAATATAGCACTTTAGGGACTTTTTAATGTAAATAAATACCCTACATTTACTAATTTTCAGAATAACTGCACAAATTTAATATTCTCCATGCAATGGAAAACTTGCTTGGAAGTTTCTTTATTCTTTTCCTCTTTTTCAAAAGTGCATCTCATAGGGCCAGCTGCTTCTCTTGGAAGGACCACCTGGTTTTGGACAGAACATTCTAGCTATATCGTATCATCATAAAGTTCTTCTGTTTTTTCTTCTCTGTATTTTTGGAACTGGAAAATGGATTCATTTTGCTTCACAAATTCTTTTCAGTCTGTCTTTCCAATGATTTCAGTTGCTAGTCGTGTCTCCTTGTCAGGTGTAGGTTTTTTATGAAGGCGCTTAATGTCCTGAAGAGACAGTAATTCACCCCTGAGCTCCTCATCGCTGTCTATTTCAATACATTTCCTCCTGTGGGCCTTGCTTGGGGCAGCAGGGAGCTCTTTCCTCATTTGAGCCATATGGATTTTCTGGAAGTCTTCTTGAGACAAGACCTGGCTGGTGCTGATGGTTACGGCCTTGGCCCTCTGCTCCTCCTTGGCCGTGCTGCTCAGCTTCTGGGAGATCTCTTGCTGTTCTTTGTCAGAAGAGTGGTGTACATCAACCCATTCACCATCAGCCTCTTCCTCTTCATTGAGACTGGTACTTTCCCACCCATCTTCATTTTCAGCATTCTCTTCTTTCTCAACTTCCAGAACCTCTGCTCTTGAAAAGTAATCTTAGCATCTAATTCACCATATTCTTGTACTCTAGCTTCTGCAGAAACTTCTGTAGGTTTGCCCTGGAATTTCTTCCGTAGCATCCAAGGATTCAGCATCCAGAAGAGCTAGATCAAAGTTCTACATGATGTCATTACATTCTTATCTTTGTGCATCTTATACTGAGCCAGGTCTAGGAGAAGTTCCTCAGTCATGGCTAGAGGACATCGAGCTGTTATCTCCTTTATAGTATTGATACCTCCTGTCATGACTTTCTTAGAGTTCTTGTCAGTCACAAGATTATTGGCCACAGTCATGAGCAATGATTGAATGATCGCCAGAAGTACAAGGTGACGAGAGTCTTGTGCAGCAAACAGAAGGATCTTGTTACTTCTCTCTGGCAGGACTGCAGAAACCTTCGGAGAAAGGGGTAAAAATTGAAGGGAAAAATCTCATGGATTCCCACCAATCTGGAGATGAAGTGCATCTGCACTTCAAACCTCTTCTTGGAGTTCTGTAGCTGTTTGAGTCATTTTTTTCTGCAAAATCTTGGGGGTCATGAATCAAGTGAATAGCTGAAAAGTTAAACTCCTCAGGCTTTTTCTTCTTTTGTTTCTTGAGCACTTTCATTGCCTTTTCCAACTTCTTATTTTTTGAGCTCTTCTTCCCTGTGGCATATTGCAAAGCAAGTTTCTTGCTGTGGGTCTTTCAACCTCAGGTTCTGAGTCACTATCTTTTTTCTCATCTCCCTCTTTCCCAAGGAAAAATGTCAGAGTGGCAACAAATATCTTAGTGACGTTGGAGAAGCATGTAGTTCTAACAACACTGACAGTTTTGGCGTCCTTCTAGATGCTTCTTCGGTAGTGCTCAGTCATCACATCCGAAGACATCTTGGCTGCAGTTGCATCACTGCCTCTCAGCATGGTATACGTAAAATTCTGTAGCACTATGTCCGCTTTATTGTTCTTGTGTTTAGCATTTCTATTCTTAATATCAGTCACATTATATGTGTATAGTCTTTCACAGAAGCTTATCACGGCAACCCAGAAGTTCAAAGAACAGCTCCAGCAAACTTGATGGACTGATGAGATTCATATTTCTCAGCAAGATCAAAGCTTTGCAAAAGGACATTCGAAGATCTGGATCTAAGACAGTGTGATTGTAGGAAAGATCTTTGGCATCTTGAGGAAAGTTGCTCAGATGTTCTGGATAACAGTGGCCAATCTGTACCATGAACATCACCAGCTCTGCCAGTTCTTTGCTGGGTTTCTTTGGTTATAACTTGAAAAATCTCCACATTGGATTGGTACTGATTATACTGCTGGAGAAACTCCTCGATGTAGGCTGGCAGGCCCTGCTTGGTAAGATTCTGTAACTGCAGCAGGCTGCTGGGCAATTTGTTGTTGTTTCTGCTGTACATGTTAGTTGCAGGCTGGCTCCTCTCAGAGTAATGCTAGAGAAATTTGCACTCTGCTGCAGCTCGCAAACCTAACTGGAAACAGCTTGTCACTTCTCTTTTGTTCTTATCTCATTGAGTAAAAATTGAAGCATTCTTGCAGTGTTTCCACTGCTACTCAATTTTACTACTGTGGCAGCTGAAAAACTTTGTACGACAACTAGAAATCAAAATGTAAGCATACTACTTATAAAAGAATAAAAAAATACTTAAGAATACATTTAACAAATTATTTGAATAGTACCTGATGAAAAAAACTCCAAACCACTACAAAAAGAAAATAAAATTATACTACTCGATTTATTATAAACTTGATATAAAGCTGCAGTAATCAAGAGAATCTAAGGTTGAAGTGAAAATAAAATAATAGACTAATGGTATAGAATTTTAAAAATTGAGCCACACAGTTAAAGCCTTTCAAGGGACCAAGAACATTCACTAATGAAGGAGTCTTTCTACCAAATGATGGGCTGTAAAATTGGACAGCTTCTCTGAATTCTTTAACACCAGTGCTACAGATGCTGATGAAAAATAACCTGGGTCAGGACGGGGTGTGGACACTTTTCCGCTCTACAATTCATCTGCACATTGTTATCTACTACATTCCTTTGCATTACAGCTGAAGCTCCTGAGATAGCCTCTCTTTTTTAAAGAGAAAAAAGTCACAAATTTATATCCATTGAACCCCGATACCACACACACACACACACACAAAAGTATCCAGTGAAGAGTTGGGGAGCAAACTAGGATGGATTTCAAGTGGAGTGAAAGTGTCAAACATTCTCAGCCCTTCTTAAGTACCCACATCCCAGCTGTCACATTCCTGGTCTAGGAGTTAATGTTGCCCACAGAGCACATCATTTGGGAAATGAATGCAAGCTCCAACGTGGGCGCCCTGGACCGAGCATTCTTCTTACTACAGTATCCACAGCCAGTTTAGCTTTTTACTTACTTCCATTTGGCCAAGCACATATTGAAGATTTTCAAGTACACTATGTAAAAAATAACCCTCACCTTGGAGAGTACATTTTTATTTTCTTAAAATCATTGGGAATGGAGGAGATGGGGAGGGGAAAAAAGGTGAAAGTGCAAAAAGACTAAGACACACTAATTGCCCACAATGAATGTATTTATTATGTATTGCAAGCTTATACTAATAAAGGGGAAATTACGTGACCACCAAGATAAATAAATAACAACCAAAGAAATTGTTCTAAGGCAAGAAAGTTTACCAGAAGCTTTCTGTTGCTTGTTAAGACAGATTCCAAAAGCTGCAGGCATTAGACAAGTAGGCTAGTTGTCTAACTAGGTATGTAATACCCATTGCATACCCAACCATGTATGACATTCTGTCCCTAGAGTCTCACTGATTCTATCCATGGCCACCTTGTAACCCGGATTCCAAGTACTTCTCACTTATGTATTTCTCGCCTCTTTTTCTTCCTCGACATAAATAGATTTTAAACTCAAATTTACTGAGGTGCGATCTCCAAACAATAATATATATAATTTCAAGGGTACAATTTGATAAATCCTCACAAATGTGTACACCGTGTATGCACCACAATCAAGAAATATCTCCGTCAACTCCAGCAGCTCACTTGTGCCCATTTTAAATCTCCTTTCTCAAATCTGGCTCCAGGCACCTCCTGATCTGATTTCTATCTCTACCGATTAAATTTGTCTTTAATTGGAATTCTATATCAATGGAATCATATAGTATATACTATTTTATATCTGATTTCTATCAGCATGTTTTAAATATTCATCCATGTTGTTGATGTGATCTAAATATAAGATCAACAATTAAACTCTTAAAAAATTGCAGTAAAAGACACATTGCTATTAATCCTTTTCGAATAGAGCTCTTGCTTCAAATATACTTATTCTATATTCTTGCCGCTGTCTGAAGCAGTTCTGGAAGTCCTCTTTCGTAAATGTCTTTACAAGACACAACCAAAAATGTGGTTAATCATCCCTTGGAAATGGAGCTTGTAACATTACAGTGCATCGTCATTGTGTTCGTTGATACCTTGTGTCAACTTGGCTGAATCAGCTCCAGCAGATCTCAGCATGGGGGCCTAGCCCTGCAGGTGGGCAGGGCCCAGGAATTGAGAAAGGCAGGAAGCTCCCCTGCCTGGTTTCCTGCCACCCCGCCCTCTTCCATGGAGAAATCTCAGTCTTCTGAAGAGCTTGATCTCGGCAGCCGTGCCACTTTGGAGGAGCTCTGATCTTTCTTTGCAGTCAGCGCAGAAGGAAGAGAGAGGCTTGGTGGACGCTGCTGCAGTTGCTGCTCCTCCTCTGCTCTTCATTGTTTTCTGCCGCATGAACTGCTGTCGTTTGCCTTGGAGCCAGCGGATATGGACTGAACCCTCCAGTAACTGTGAGCTAAATAAACCTTTCCTTCCTTCATTTTGAGTGTTGGGTATTTGTCCCAGCAATGAGTAAAAAGTAACTAAGACAGTCATCAAGGGTCTTCACCAATTCTAGCAACTTCTGGCTCTTCCTCTGAGTCAAAATGATTAGGAAAGGTAGATGTTCTGAGTTGAT